GGGGGAAAGCAGATAAACATCAAATTTTCATTTTTGGGTGAACTATCCCTTAAACTAGTTGCTTATTAGCATGCATATTACTAGAATATTAGCCATTTATTAGTAGTAATTAAGCACATATTAATGCCTTATTCTACATGACCTTATTCTACATCCCTAGTCCTACCCATTACCTAAACTTAACAACTACCTTACTAACTATTAATAAGCAGCAAATTAGGAATTTATTTAGGGAAAAGTCGTAGTTAATAGTGAATAAGTGTTCTCTATTCTAAAACGTTACCAATGTAAGTTACCCAACACTTTCATAACACACATTAACCTGCCTAACATTTGCAAACAATATCTGACTCTCCATAGAACTTGAAATTGTATTATCATTGTACCTAAAAGTTATTTTGGTATAATAGCTTTAGTGATTACTATGGCAAGCATTTTCATCATCCACCAAAATGTAACAAGACAACACTAAGATACAAAAATATTCAAATAAAGAAAGTTTATTATAAAGTCTATTAATATCCCTATGATGATAACACTAGAGCCCAGCCATTATCATTTAAAAGGCATCAAAGGGATGCTTCAGCCTCCAGAAACCTGTACAGTATCAACCGCTTGGCAAAATGCCCTTTAAAGCTGGGTGTTCATGCCAGTAGAATGAAATGAAATCCCTAAATAAGACGAAAGCAACAGAATTGGTTTATCTATATGCACAAGGTTTAGTGCAAACAACACAGCCTGACAGAAGTGCCATGACGTTAGAGGAGGTAATCTTGTTTTTGGTGTGCTGATCACAGAATTTGTTCTCACAAATGTACACCAAATACTGATTATATACAGTATATACACAAATTCTACTCACAATGGATCCTCTGCAGTGAATGGGTGCCGTCAGAATGAGAGTCCAAACAGCTGATAAAAACATCCCAATAATCCACACCACTCCAGTCCATCAGTTACCATCTTAAGATGTTTTAAACTTCAAACCGTTGCTAAAATACAAATCCTCTATCCATAATATTGCTTTCTCCAGTCAAAAAGTGTGTCTTCTGAATCAAGAGAGAAATATGCACAGATCAAGCACTGTTTACAGGCAAAACCAGTCCAAAATAGTTCTAAACAAATATGTTGGTGGATTTTGATGTGAAAGAACAACGATGGATGGACTTTCTCCACTAGAGGAAACATTATTATAGATTACGGACTCATATTTTCGGCCAGAAGTGAAAGTTTGAAATTAAAATGCTTTAATGATGGATTTGTTTCTTTCAGACACACAGCTTTCAACTTCACAAGACATTAAATGATGGACTGGAGTGGTGTGGATTACTTGTGGATTATCGTGATGTTTTTATCAGCTGTTTGGACTCTCATTCTGACGGCACCCATTCACTGCAGAGCATCCACTGGTGAGCAAGTGATGTAATGCTACATTTCTCCAAATCTGTTCTGATTAGGGATGTTCATTTTAACCGGTTAACCGACCGTTTAGGTTTAAAAAGTCATTTATTATTTTTTTTTCAGTAATTTATCAAAATATTTAAAAAGGTTTGCTGCATGGTTAAAATACGCTACGCATATATTACAAAAATTTGTTTTTTAGAAAAAGAACTTTAATGATGGATTTGTTTCTTTCAGACACACAGCTTTCAACTTCACAAGATGTTAATTGATGAACTGGAGTGGTGTGGATAACTTGTGGATTATCGTGATGTTTTTATCAGCTGTTTGGACTCTCATTCTGACGGTCTTGGATGACCTGAGGATGGGTAAAGTCTCAGTAAACTGAATTTTTTGGTGAACTATTCCTTTCATTTAGCATTTAGAAACAGACAGTGATTACAACTCTGCTCTTGAGCGAAACAATTAACTATGAATTGCTGCCTGTTTTGGCAATTAACATACCTTATATTGTTTTTTTTATTTTGAAGAAACGTTAATTGGGTGGTAATAAGCAACTAAATGACATAATAATAAAATTAAACAGATTACATAAGGGAATAGAATAAATGAAAAGGCGTGTTGGTACCCAGGATACGGTGGCGGTGGGGCATCATGTGGTCCATTGATGGCGATGGCGACGGCCTGTTCATAAGAAGGTAAAGCATGCGCATCTGGGCTGGCATCTGAGCCTGTGTGAGGAATAGGATGCAGAGAGACCTCCTCCAGTCTCCGGATGATCACAGAGGCATTGCTTCGGTTGGATCGACGTCTGAATGAACTAAATTTAAAAGGCGAAACATTGCAAACAGTCTCTCCAGTAAATGACAAACTCTTAGGATAATTCTCATAATTCTCAACATAGAGAATGTGCTTCACAAAGCCTTACCTTCGGAAGCCATGGTCTTGCATAATTTTATTTATTATGTAGCCCACTTCACTGGCGTTCCAATATCCACGTAAAACAAAATGTTTTGCATAACATCACGGCGGTATGGTGATAACGCTTAATGGCAGACTTAACTACATATTTGAACTGAGCAGTGTGTTTTTTCTCATATGTTTGACTGACTGTATTTTATTATGTTACTGAACAGGCTGCATTGTCAAGGTAGCAAAGCTTAACTGTGTGCGCTATTTTGGATTAAATAAATTAAATCTTGGTGAGTTTAAGAGTCTTCTTTTAAAAACATTCAAATAATCTTACACTCTAAAAAATTCTGGGTTGTTTCAACCCAACTTTGGGTCAAATATGGACTAACCCAGCTGTTGGGTTAAATTTTTACATTAAATTTTTAACCCAAAAGTTGGGTTAGTCCAAATTTGACCCAAAGTTGGGTTGAAATAACCCAGCATTTTTTAGAGTGTAAGAATTCCAAACATTTTACTGGTAGTGTACATGTAAAGGATTACACATAAACGGAAAGCAAAAAAAGACCATTTTCAACGGCACAATGAAGAAGTGGTTTAAAAAGAAGTGGAACTTTAGTGAACTGGGAATATTAAAATAATATGCTAAGAACTCTGGATGAACAGGTTTCTTTTAGTAGATAAACATTTGACTGAGAAGATGAAAAGATTTCAGTGTGTTTTTTCTCGCAGTTTCTGTTAAAGGTAAATCATTCAGGTGTATGCATGACAAAAACTCACCCTCTGTATATTTCCTCCAAAAGTCATTCTGTCAAATCAAAAATTAAATGTGAATTAAATTAATGTCCAGTATGAAATTAACAAATGGGTGGTTTGTTAAAGGGATAGTTCACCCAAAAATTAAAATTTGATGTTTATCTGCTTACCCCCAGGGCATCCAAGATGTAGGTGACTTTGTTTCTTCAGTAGAACACAAACGAAGATTTTTAACTCAAACCGTTGCAGTCTGTCAGTCATATAATGGAAGTGAATGGGAATCACGGATTTGAGAGTCAACAAAACATACACAAACAAAACCAAATTAAACCCTGCGGCTCGTGACGATACATTGATGTGTAAAGACACGAAACGATCGGTCTGTGCAAGAAACTGAACAGTATTTATATCGTTTTTTACCTCTGATTCACTACAATGTCTGAACTGTCCTGAGCGCGTCATCGACAGCCGGCACCTGACGAGTCTTCTTCTTGCTTTACAGCGGATCGCAGACATATAAGTGCATTACCGCCACCTATCTCTCAAATGGACCATTGACACTCCTAACTGAGGTTGTAGATAGACAGGTGTATTAAGCACTGATAATCATATGTTGGGAGTGAAGGGAGTGTGTCGCTCCAAACACACTCTGGTATCACTTTTTAATCATCATCCTCATTTGTACTGCCTAAAAATGAGAGTTGTCTGCCCAAATCCAACCCATGGGCAAGTACACATGACAATGTCGTTTAACTAGGAGTGGTTGTCGCAGCCTGTGTAATGAATAAAATTCATTAGTCAAGAATAATAATGGGATTACTCAACTGTTTCAGGGATATTCTCAAAGACTTCCCGAGCCTCCTCGTAACTGCATATCTCCTCGAAACACTCACGTTCTAGATTACCTGGGGTGAAGATCTCAAAGTCGAAGCGGTTGAACAACAGGTGGCGTCCTAAAAATGTGTTGGCCTCCTGGTCCACAACAAACACTACAAGGCACCAATAAATATGTCAAATGTGACTGAAAATACAATGTCATGCAATAATCAAAGGTAATGTTACATATATTGAAACAGCGATGGAGATAGAGATATACTTTGATAGAGATATAAAGTACATCTGAACATAACCATAAAAATACAATGAAGTAAAGTAATGGATATCATTAAAGTTACCTTATAATAGGCTAAGTCTCATAAACCTACACTTATCATATCCTATCCTATCTTAGATCATGATACTATTTTAATAGGAGCATGTGCTTTCATTATTGTGTTTAAAAACAAAATGCCCACCTTTACTGTCTTGATCTGCTGATATTTGAAGGGTTTTTCTCACACACGCACAGTGTCCACATAAAGTGAAATGACACAGCAGGAGGACAAATATAAGCATTTCTAGTCAACTGCGGGGGAAAAGGACAAAAACCGGGCTACTCAACGACACGGAACGACAGACTGAATTCCACAAACACACACCCATATTGTGTTATTTCAGAAGTTGAAATTCCAATTCGATTTTAATAGGAAAAAGGTCTCAGTTTTAATGGTCGAAATCGAAAGAATGTGAAGGAAGCTATCAAATTACTTACCTTTCAATGATAGTTTATATTGCCAGAGATTAAAGTTAGCGTTAAACTTTAATTAATTTCCAGAGAGCACTTGAAGACATTCGTGGTTTGGACGAAATGTCATTTGTTGTGTTCCAGGAAATGACAGTTTCTGTTTACAACACACACACACACACACACACACACACACACACACACGCTCAGACCTGAATAATCGATCGTTTTACCTAGAGGGAGTGAGAGTAGAACGAGAACAAATCCAAACCAACCTACTATGGCGAAGGATTAGCTCATGAATATTTATTACGTTACATGACGTTTGCGTAGAACGCCTACCTGGTTCGCAGAAAGCTTTTCAAATTTATGTGACTGAAAAAAAAAAAGAAAAGAAAAAAAAAAACCATCACGTCACTGTATGCTCTCATAACATGTCAAAGAATATTGTCATTTTGGCTTCGCCATAGTAGGATTCTTAATTTATTCCCACGCGAAACTGCACGGGTGCTTTCACATGTCTATCACAAACGAGGTAAATGAGGTTTACATTAACATTTTACATCTATCCTGTCAGTGCTAAACATGCTGACATTCATGATGTTTGTCATTTTTGTAATGTTGAAGACAGTTTTGATTGTAATTTTGATTTTAACTTTAGTAAATCGGGTTTCATCACTGTGAAGACATTCGAAACTGCACGGGTGCTTTCACATATCTATTACAAACGAGGTAAATGAGGTTTACATTAACATTTTACATCTATCCTGTCAGTGCTAAACATGCTGACATTCATGATGTTTGTCATTTTTGTAATGTTGAAGACAGTTTTGATTGTAATTTTGATTTTAACTTTAGTAAATCGGGTTTCATCACTGTGAAGACATTATTATATTTTATAAAAACAGAGACAAGGATCTTGGATACATTAACCTTTTAGTTTGTTTACCAAATCTCATATTCGCATTTAAGGAAGGTATATACACGAAAAATTCGAAAAAAAGGGATAGTTTACCCAAAAATAAACATTACTCAACCTCAAGTTGTTCTTCTGTTGAAATTTTATTTTGAAGAATATGATTAACCAAACAGTTGATGGACCCCATTGGCTTCCACAGTATGGAAAAAGGATACAAATGAAGTCAACAGGGACCATCAAATCTTTGGTTACTCACATTTGTCGAAATATATAATTTTGTGTTCTGCAGAAAGAAATTCATACAGCATTGGAATAGCTTGAGGCGGAGTAAATGGTGTCAGATTTTCCTTTTTCTTTCTTATTTTGGGTTTTATTGTTTATTTATCCAGCCACAGGTGGATGTTACTTTCATGAACCACTAGATGGCAATGAAAACTTGCTGTCCACAGTACTTGTATAAAAGCTTTGAGTAAATGTTTAATTTAATTTTCATAATCGTGTGAATCAAAACATTCTATAAAACGAAATGGAAATAGTAACACAAAGTATTAAACCATTTTTTAATGAGCAACAATTAATTAATGAATTATTTCCTGAAAACAACTTTTGACCTTTATTTTATAGCATATAGTTTACTCTTGTTTGAATCTGTTATTTTAATATCACTGAGATACTATTATAGGTTTTTATTTTAAAAAATGGGATTGTTTTTTATTTTTATATTTTTGGTTTTCATTTTAATTTTAGTTGACGTTTTACTAATTTTGTTGTGAGTTTTTGTCATTTTTAGTTATTTTAGTTTAGTTATGTTATTTTTCAACTAGCTCAAATAAATAAATAAAGTATGTACTGTATGTATTTATTTATTTACAGCCAACACAAGTAGAGAAAACCACTAGTAGAAAAGAAAAAAACAAACTTGCGTATACTGAGAAAAATGACAATTTCCAGTCTTCAGACTTAAGCTGACATCTAAAATTTAGATTGTAAACTGGAGACTAAAGCACTGTCTCTGACCCTTGAAGAGTGCAGGATATAATTACAGACTGCATGTTTGTAATTAACCTCAGTTATTTCTGGTTCAAACAATTTCCAAGAGCATTGTTAAATGTACAGAAGCACATGTTGTTAACTATAAAAAACATTTGCCAGAACCATATGTATGGTCATGTCATCTATGAAACATCAACAAGGCTCTCAATGCATTACCATGCAGATGATAAGATGACTTCATGCTCCATGGAGACTGCAAAAAATAAATACATTTTTATAAATATCTTGAACATATCAAACAGCACAGACAAACATCATCACTTTGTAACCTGATCGCATCATATCTATGCTTTCTGGGGAAAGCAACTCCTCCTCTGCCTCACCCAGATGATCTCCAGCCAGGAAAAGTCCCCAGTTTAACAGTAGTGATGTATTTGTGCTCCTCCTGGAGACTGGTGCTAACTGAACAGTAATAGGCTGCACTATTTCAGCAGGGGTCTGGACACTGTTGCAGCGGCATACTATGGCAAGCTGTTTTAACATTTAATCCGAAACCTACTAGAATCTATTTTAATGCTACTAGTATTTATGTATGTATGTATTTATTTATTTATTTGTAATTATTATTATTATTGATCTATTTTTTTTTAGCTAACTACTATATATTCCATTAAGTACTAGTAGGCTACTTAGCTGCTAGTGCTTATTCTTTAGCTAATAGTACTTATTTATTAGATACTAGTTCATATTTATTAGATATGTAAGTGTATTGAAATATAGTGACTACTGTTATTCTACTGTTACTAGTAACACATTTCAAATGTTTACCATTGAATTCTATGGGTATCTGCCATTCAGATATCAACTATTCAGTATTCATTAGATACTAGAACTTATTGAATACATACTATTACTTTTCATTATATATTAATAGATCCAAGTTATTCATTAGGTACTAGTACTTATTTATTAGACACTAGTATATTTTGTAATTCTTAACAAATCTTATACTAACTACTTTTTAATAAATACTCTCTATTTAATAAATAAGTATCTATTTAATATAAATATATTTAATAAACCAATTTTTAATATTAGAATTATGAAAAAGTGGTTGGCGCCGATAGCCTCGTGGGCAACGCTAGCGCTTTGGGCGTCCTGTGATCGAGTCCCAGTTTGCGGACCTTTCCCGATCCCATCCCCCCTCTATCTCCAACTTCGCTTTCTGTCTAACTACTGTCCTATCAATTAAAGGAAAAATCGCCAAAAAAAAAAAAAGAATTATGAAAAAGTGGTTTTAAGGAATGATTCAATGACTCATAAACTCATAACACTTGTTTCATTACTGGATGAATCAGCATTTTTGAATGAATCTCTTGAATAAATGATTCAGTGACAAATACATTTTTAACAGTCACTTATCTCCACCTACTGGAGAAACTATGTCATCGACACAATCAAACATTATTTCCAGACCAGGTCGGGTCCCGGGTCTCGGATCGCCGTGATTTTTCCAAGTAAGACATGTTCCCGGATCAACATTACTGTCCAGAAATACAGACTTAACCCAATCCCTACCCCTGAACCTAACCATACCCAAAATGTATTCCTAAAATTAGTGGGAAATGATAGCTGATTAACAAGGGTGTAGAAGCACCAAACCCTGATCATAAGCCTAAAACTGAAATTTCCTGAAAAGATATCCCTCAATTCTGATTGGTTGATTGGAATGTTGTTCCAGGATCAACAAGGATGTTGATCCAGGAACATGTTGTACTTGGTGAAATCACGCTCAC